GCCAGCCCAGGTCAAAGCCTGCTCTCACTTCGGAGCTTCTGACTGCACAGCTGCGTCTCCACAATGGCCATCAGACCAGGAATTTGGGATGCGAAGGCGGGGCTGGGAGAGGCTACTTGATTGTGCTCCTCTCTTAGGTGAACCAGTGTGATTGCATCAAAGGAGTTGTAGAATCACCTCAAGTTTCAGGGAAGCCAGCCCCTCACCTGCTCCCTCCATCTGTGTGCAGGTGACTCACTAGGAAGGAACCTTGTTTAGCCGCTTCTTCATCCCTCAAGCTGCAGGCCTGTCTTGGCCACTTAAGAACCACCTGTGGTCCGGTGCGGTGTGGTGGCTCACACCTGTAATCCCAGCACTTTGGGAGGCCGAGGCTTGCAGACCACCTTGAGGTCAGGAGTTCCAGACCATCCTGGCCAACACGGTAAAACCCTGTCTCTACTAAAAATACAAAAATTAGCTGAGTGTGGTGGTGGGCACCTGTAATCCAAGCTACTTGGGAGGCTGAGGCAGGAAAATTGCTTGAGCCCAGGAGGCAGAGGTGGTAGTGAGCCGAGATTGCACTTCTGCCCCCCAGACTGGGCAATAGAGCAAGACTCCATCTCAAAAAAAAACTCCACCTGGGGCGGAGAGATGTGATTCCCGACATGCACCCAGGCTAACTGCAGTGCCCAGGTGATGTCAGCGTGTACCCACAGCTGAGAAAGGATGGCTGAGCCCTGTAGCATGAATGAAAACAGGCCCATCCCTGGGGGCGAAAAAGCAGGCAGGGGCCAGGGAAAGCCACAGGCTGGATGATGTGACACAAAAGCCAAGAGTGAACTGTAACTCAAGGGTATCATAGCCTGCAGGGCGGGCGATCCCAAGAAGGAATCCAAGATCTCAGATTTTCTGAACACTGAGAAAGTGCGGAGGAAACTGGGGCTGACAATTACTGGACTGTTGAAACGTGGGGCCCTGGCAGCTTCGGGCAATGCCTCTCTAATAGAGCCGTCATCGTGAGGTGCTGGCGTTTAGGTCTGGCTGGGGCAGCTCTCCACGGGTCTCACATTTCTGCACATCTTGCAGACAGAGGAGCTGACCGTCCTTTCTCTGGACCATCCTCTCTCAGGGGTGCTTCTATAGCAAGCGCCTTGGAAGACGGGGACAGGGTCTCCCCTGGAGCAGAGAGCAGGCACGATCACGATTACTGCCCGTGATAAAACACTTGCGTCTTGGAAGCCCAGGCTTCCTCTCCCACAGTGCAGCTTGCCGAGCAGACAAGCTTCTGTTCAGGTCCACCCGTGCACCCCTGCGGGCTACGGGAAGAGGGAACTGATGCAAACGAGCCGAAGCTCCTGCTGCTTGCTGGCCTCCCATCCTGGAATGTGCTCTTTTCTGCTGGCTCCCATGAAGCTGTTGAGGGCTAATACACATGCAAGCTCAAACCTCAGTCTGCTTTCAGTTCTAGGCAAAGGTAAGTGTCTACAACTAAATATGATCTGACTTATAAGTGGGTTTTAAACCACTATTCTGCACATATAAAACCTGGATGTAAAGCAACTTTGATTTGAAGAAGAAAATTAGGCTGGAGGTTCTTATTCTTGATTGAATAAGATGTTGATGTTATTGCCTAAATCTGCAGTGACATACCACGGAGGTCCATGAATCTGAGGGATTGGTGAAGGTTGGCGGGGGCAGGGTGGGGGTTGGTGCTGGGTGTTTGGAGGGAAGAGGTGTCTTCAAGAAGTTTCTGACCTTCTTACCTTTTCCAGAAGGGGAGAAGCTCTTTGGCTGCAGGGTCACCCCTGCCGTTGTTACTGTGGAGGGTGGTGCTGGCCTTTGCCGAGCCAGGGCAGGGTCTCCTAGAGAGAGGATAACCACATGGCACTGATGGTCCTGAGCCTGGAATCTGGGCTGGCCTCAGAACTGGATACAAATAAAACATCAACACCAGAGCTTACAGTGGAGGCATCTGGCTTCCTGGGACAGGTTAGAAGCACGAGAAATATGGTGTTTCCCACCCAAATCCAAAGACACACTGCACACTATTTTTCTTTCATTTCCAAAAAGACTGCACAAGTTAAAGATGAAATTTATTTTGGCTGAGATGATATTCATAATATCAATTCAATTTTATAATACTGGTTATTCTTGGGAAAATAAATCATCACTCAGTATATTCTATTTTGTTTGAGACAGGGTCTTGCTCTGTTGCCCAGATTGGAGAGCAGTGGTGTGAACACAACTCACTGTAGCCTGACCCCCCAGGCACAGGTGACCCTTCTGTCTCAGTCTCCTGAGTAGGGACTACATGTACATGCTTCAAGGCCCAGGTCATTTTTAATTTTTTTTTTTTTTTTTTTTTCTGTAGAGTCAGGCAGGGTCTTGCTGTATTGCTGAGGCTGGTCTCAAAGTCCTGGGCTCAAGCAATCCTTCCCACCTCAGCCTCCCTAAGTGCTGGGATTGCAAGTGTGAGCCACCGTACCTGGCTTCCATTTTGTTTGTTTAGCAGGAAAAAAATCATTCAAAGCGCAAGAGGTTGGGAAACATAACCGAGGAGGTTGTGCGTGGTCAGAAGGTGGAAGGATCCTTTGGGCCAGGTGAAACCTAAAGACGCCTCCAGTCTTTGGCTCTCAGCTTCTCTTCTTTCCTCTCTCATCCTGACCCTGTTTGGACCCCACAGCTCTTCTCCATTCCATTCTGGATCCATTTGCCCAAAGGACATGGAGCGTTGAGGAGACCTGACTTTCCCTGCAGTGAGAAAGCCCTTTTTTACCCCAGGCTTCCAGGTTCTGGGGAGTCCCAGGACTGGCGAGGCAAGACCCACTGTCATTCCCACAGATTCTGCTCACCCCGCCACGCTGAGCTTTCTCATTCACCCACTGGTGCCCCGGGTGCTGTGTCCCCAGTGAGCGATTTCTCGGAATCTGTCGGAGGCTTCCTCCCTGCCTTCCCTCTGCGGCCTGTGTGACTTGCTCTGTTCTAGGGGAGGAGGCTGAGCTAGCACTACAAAGCCGGTGAGAATGTCCGGCCCTCTAGGAGCTCCCCTGCTGCGGAGGGCGTGAGCTATGGGACGGCCCCTGGTGGGTGTGCTCATCCCTGTCCAGCAGGCGAGCTGGGAAAGGAGAGGAGCCTACATTCCACGTTTGTTAAATGGGAAATCTCTTGGAAGCCCCTGGGTTAATCTTTATTTTTCCAGAGTAAGGAAGAGGGGGAGCAGAGGTGGGCCTGAGTGTTCTAAAGACAGCCCCTGGTGGCTCCCACCTGAGGTGATTTGGCTGCTTCTGGGCTGTTTATTCGGGTGTGGATGGTTTATTTAAAAAAGTTGATTCTTGCCACCTTCCCTCACTCCTGCTGGACACCATGCACAGTTGACTGAGCAAAGGGAAGCCCTGCTCTCATCCCCAGGGCTGGGCCATGAGGGAGGAGTAGTGACGGCTTCCAACATCCACTTTCTCATGAGAAATCCAAAAATTTCTCATGCTAGTGTGCTCAGGAGCGCATGCCCGGCTCTGCAGCCCAATTCTCTTGCCAACATCATCTTAAATCAAAGCACTGCACATAATAAGAGTTAATATTTACCTGTGTTCACAACACCCTCCCACAGCCTGCAGTGTGGACATCAGGTCTGTTTTCCAGATGACCAGCCAGACTGCCAGAACATCACAAAAGTGGTCCAACGCCTCCTGGGTAGTAGGTGGCAGAGCCAGGATTTAAACCCGAATTCTGTGACCCCAGTGCCTGTGTATTTCCAACAGCAGGAGCTGTTGCTGTTGCTGAGAATCCCACTGGTGTTTTTTTGTTTTTTGTTTTTTTTTGAGGCAGAGTCGTGCTCTGTTGCCCAGGCTGGAGTGCAGTGGTGTGACACTGGCTCACTGCAACCTCCACCTCCTGGATCCAAGAAATTCTCCTGTCTCAGCCTCCCCAGTAGCTGGGATTACAGGTACATATCACCGTGTCTGACTAATTTTTGTATTTTTAGTAGAGATGGGGTTTCACCATGTTGGTCAGGCTGGTCTTGAACTCCTGACCTCATGATCTACTCGCCTCTGCCTCCCAAAGTGCTGGGATTACAGGCGTGAGCCACTGCACCCAGCCCCCACTGGTATCCTTAGCTCCAGACCTCAGCGCAGATCCCTTGACCCCCAAGATGGGGTCTTCTCTCTGTGCAGCCTTGGCAGGGTGCAGGGGTGAGGAGAGTGGGGCCGCATGGGCTACTCACGGATGCATTTGAGACTGGGGGTTGTCCAGTAGGCGACGTTGGTGGCCTTGTTCAACACGCACTCGGTCAGGCTGGATGTGCCGGCTTTACGCTTGAAACCAGAGTTACAAATGTACCGCTCCCTGGAGTGCAAGCTGTAGCTCTTGACCTGGATGTCTGCGTGTTCCACGGACACCGGGTCAGGGCATGTGATGCCTGGGAAAGTGCAGAAGACAGGGGATGGATGAAGAGGTTTCTGCTTCTCCAAGCACTCATGGAGGTAGTAACTTTAGAGCTGGGTCCGGCTTATCCCAGGGGCTCCTGAGGACAAGCCACAGGTGCCAAGCATGTGGAGGATGTGCAGGAAGGCATCCATCACCCAGCAGCTTTCCCAGAACCTTGCCTGAAGTGCCAGTGAGCCAGCAAAGCAAGAGATGGGGGTGTGGGGAGGGGTCATCGGTGAAACACCCTCTCCCTTCCTTCATTTCCCACCCCTCTGCAAGCCCTCAGTATCTCTCCAAAGCCTTCATCCCTCTCCACTGTGGACCCAGCCTCCCACTCTTGCTGAATGACAGCAGGTGCCTCCAGGCAGTACTCTGCCATGATTTCACCAAGCCTGTTTAACGCCAGAAAGATTCCTTTTTTTTTCAGACAGGGTCTCACTCTGTCCCCGGGACTGAAGTGCAGCAGTGTGATCATAGCTTACTGCAGCCTCGGCCTCGCAGCCTCAAGCAATCCTCCCACTCAGACTCCTGAGTAGCTGGGACCACAGGCATGCACTACCATGCTCAGCTTTTTTTTTTTTTTAATAAATATTATAAGAAACATGGAATGCTTCATGAATTTGCATGTCATCCTTGCACAGGGGCCATGCTAATCTTCTCTGTATCGTTCCAATTTTTTCATATATGTGCTGCTGAAGTGAGCACTTTTTTTTTTTTTTGGTAGAAATGGGGGACTCTCTCTATTGTTCAGGTTGGTCTCAAACTCCTGGGGTCAGGCCATCCTCCTGCCTGGCCTCGAGAAGTGCTAGGATTACAGGCATGAGCCATCACGCCTGGCCTGAAAGATTTAATTGTGGTAAAGGAAAAAAGCAAGGTTTTTCTTTGGGCACTTTAAATAATTGTATGATCTTCTTATTACTGTTTTTCTTATGAACTCATTACATAATTAGGTTTTCTTGTGCGTAGGAGATGAGTGAGAAACGGTTTGGGTGTGGAGGGGCTCAGAGTGGGCAGTGATGGAGGGCGCTCTGGGTCCTGGGGCCTGCGGGGACGTGGCCAGAAACATCTCCCCCAGACTCCCCACTATTCGAGTGTGTCTAGGCCCTGAGTTGTCACTGGCTAAGACCCTGGTTCAGGGTGGCGACGGGGGTCACCAAGGCAGCTGTAAAATGGAAACCAACGGGCGGTCTATGGCTGCTGGGGCTTGGTGCTTTGGTTCCAGGCCAGGAAGCTCTCAGTAAGTCCCTGCTGAGCAGTTGGTATAAAGGCTGGGCCCCAGACTTAGAGAACTGAGTGAAGTCATCTTCCTGCTGCTTCGGGGTGGATTGACGGGGAGACCAAATGCAGTAGCGGGAAGATTTGCAGCCTGGGGTAGGGAGGCCCCTGGTAGCCTCTGTGCCAGATCAGCAGGCTGTGATCCAGGCCCATGCAGCCTCTGTCTGTTCTTAAGAATAACAGGAGAGCAGTGTTGCTTTTACAGAAGCACAGCCTCTCTCATTCATCTATGTCTCATCAATATGGCAGCTTTCATGCAGCAATGGCAGAGCTGTGCAGCTGAAACAGAGACCTGGTGGCCCGTAGCGTCTAAAATAGTTACTGTCTGACCCTTTACAGAAAAAGTTTGCCAACCCCTGCTCTCTGCAGCCTTTAAACAAACCACTGCACTTGTTAGTAAGACCAATTGCCTAGTGCATTAGCGTAGACCTGGTCACTGAGGTTGGCTAAGGTGATCTAGCCCATACCACAATAAAAACCTTTTGCATGGCAAAACCCCACGTCAGCTAAAGGCAAATGGTGAAATGAAAAAGAAATTGCAACCCATGTCATATGGGGTCATTCCTCTCATATGTTTTTGTTTTGGAGGCAGGCAGGGTCTTGCTGGATGGAGTACAGTGCTGTAATCATGGCTCACTGCAACTTTGACCTTCTGGGTTTAGGAGATCCTTACACCTGACTCCAGTAGCTGGGGACACAAGCACATGCCACCATGCCTGGCTGTTTTTTTTTTTTTTTTTTTTTTTTTTTTTTTCTTTTAATAGAGACTGGGTTTCACCGCATTACCCAGGCTGGTCTCAAAGTCCTGAACTCAAGTAATCTGCCCGCCTCCACTTCCCAAAGTGCTGGGATTACAGGTGTGAGCCACTGTACCCAGCCTCCTCTCATACGTTAAAAGCCCTTGAAAATCAACAAAAAGATGGCCAAATCCCATGGGGAACAAGAAAAAAGATATAGACAGGCAGCTCACAGAAAAGGAAATACAATTGGCTCTTACATGTGTTTAAAAATGCTCAATCTCATTCATAATTAAAGAAATATTAAAAAGAAAGCTACAGAAGGCAGCGCTTCTCCCTGCCAAATCAGAAAAGAGCTGAAAGTTGAATAAGAGACGCTGTAGGTCAGTAAGGACTTTCAGATTGCTTGTATCTTTGAGACTGTAAATATTTGCAATCTCAAACATTACAGAGATACATGCTTTCTGACCCCTCAACTCTGCTCCTAGCAATTTACCTTACAGATACCTCTGCATATCTGGGAGACACTGTCGCAACCTACTCTTTAATCTAGCAATTTCACCCCTGAGAATCTATTTTACAGATATACTGATATGTTTGCAAAGTGAGTATGTACAAAGTTACAGATTATAATAGCCAGTATCTGTAACTAACCTTGTATATCTGTAGGACACTAATTAAGTACATTTTTTTTTTTTTTTTTTTTTTTTTGTGCGGGGGGAGATGGAGTCTTGTTCTTGCCATCCAGGCTGGAGTGCAGTGGTGAGATCTCGGCTCACTGCAACCTCTGCTTCCCAAGTTCAAGCAATTCTCCTGCCTCAGCCTTCCAAGCGGTTGGGATTACAGGCGTGTGCCACCACACCCAGCATATTTTTGTATTTTTAGTAGAGATGGGATTTTACCATGTTGGCCAAGCTGGTCTCGGACTTCTGATCTCACCCACCTCTGCCTCCCAAAGTGCTGGGATTACAGGTGTGAGCCACTGCACCTGGCCTCCTTAAGTAAATTTTAATATAGTCATGCAGCAAAGGATTTCCCAGCTTTTCCCCGTAGACGAAGACAGCTCTTTTGTGCACCAAAGTGGAGAGATCTCCAAGACACAGTGTTAGATTAAAAAGAGAAGGCATAGAACACTGTGCATTACATGTTTCCATCAGTGAGCAAAGCAGAAACAATACCTGTAGGTAATTTTTGATGTCTGTCTAAATCTCTGAAAGGATACATGGGAAATGCATAGCACTGGGTTGGGTCCCAGGCTGGATTGCGGTGGCATGATCTTGGCTCCCTGCACTGCAGCTTCCACCTCCTGGGCTCAAGTGATTCTTCTGCCTCAGCTTCCTGAGTAGCTGGGACCACAGGCGCTCACCACCACGCCTGGTTAATTTTTGTATTTTTAGTAGAGATGGGGTTTCGCTATGTTGGCTAGGCTGGTCTTTAATTCCTGACCTCAAGCGATCCACCTGCCTTGGCCTCCCGAAGTGCTGGGATTAACAGTTTTTAACTGGATCAAATTCTTCCACCTCCATCTCAAAACTCTGCCCCTCGTGTGTGTGCACATGGTGTGTGCTTAGCTCAGCAATACCAAAGGTTCCCTGCTACCAAAATCTTAACCTGCCCCTGTGCTGCTTTGTTTTATGTTAAAATATCTGGGAAAAAGTAGGCAGTGTTAGGGCAGGGCAGAGAGGGCAACCCTAAAAGTCAGCTCTAATCAACTCCGGAAACATCTGACAGCGGGCCAGAAGGGATAGTCCTATGAAAACACAAGACTCTGCTCTGTGATAAAATGTTCCTTTTTTTCTGTGAAAGCCTGAATCAACCTGGACATCTGTACCTCTCTGGGTGCTATTATATCACTGGTGGCTGAACAGTCTCCCATCAGCCATAGGGCAGTGACTCCAGAAAATAAGGAGACGAGGTCTCCAGGTGAAAAGTCGAGAGAAAGACTGGATTTCAGTCGTGGAAGTGTCTAACTGGTCTTTCCTCACTCCAAGCCCCCATCTTTTTTTTTTTTTTATTGAGACAGAGTCTCACTCTGTCACCCAGCCTGTAGTGCAGTGGTGCAACCTCATTTCAAAGCAACCTCCACCTCCCGGGTTCAAGCGATTCTCCTGCCTCAGCCTCCTGAGTAGCTGGGACTACAGGCACCCTCCACCACACCTGGCTAATGTATTTTTAGTAGAGACAGGCTTTCACCATATTGGCCAGGCTGGTCTCTAACTCCTGACCTTGTGATCCACCTGCCTCAGCCTCCCAAAGTATTGGGATTACAGGTGTGAGCCATTGTACCCAGCCTCCAGCCTTCTCTTTGGCATGGCTGTCTTGGTCCTGGAGAGACCTTGTCAGCTCATAGAATCACCTCCCCATGTCCCCAGGACTGATGGCCCTGCTATGAGTATTCTAAAACCTCATCCCAAGTGCCACACAGTTACTTGCATATCAGACAGTTTCTTTGCAATTGCAAAGACACCTTATTCCCCATAAAGCATCCTTTTCCCAAAGGCTGCTCTTGCTTTCAGTTCTGGCTGGTCATTCCGCACACTTTGGAATGCTTTCTGTTCCCAGGATATAGTGCATGGGAGACAGAGTAGATGAACCGACGGACACAGCCCAGCTCTGCCAGGAGAAATAGTCTGTTGTTCAGTTACAGTTGTTGGCACCTACCCCTGGAAAAGTGCACGGGTGGCTGGGAGTAAATTCAATAAAGAACAGGCTGGGTGCAGTAGCTCATGCCTGTAATCTGAGCACTTTGGGAGGCCGAGGCAGGCAGATCACCTGAGGTCAGGAGTTCAAGATCAGCCTGGCCAACATGGTGAAAGCGCATCTCTATTAAAATATCAAAAATTTGCTGGATGTGGTGGCATGCACCTGTAGTCCCAGCTACTCGGGAGGCTGAGGCAGGAGTATCACTGGAACCTGGGAGGTGGAGGTTGCAGTGAGCCAAAATTGAACCACTGCACTCCAGCCTGGGTGACAGAGCAAGACTCCATCTCAAAGACAAAAAAAAACCCAAAACAAACAACCCTGCCCCCCAAAACCAACAAACCAACCAAAAAACATTAGCAACCAATGTCAAAGAGTTAGGATCCTTAGCACGTAGAGAACTCATAAAAATCAGCACAAGACAAATGTCCTAATGGCCCGAGTAGGCAAAAGACTCAGTGGGTGAGTCACAAGAGAGGCATCGCCTACATCCACGCGAACATGTCCCAAACCTCACTCGTACACCCCTGTTAGAATTCCATGACCTCTGCTCTTGCTGAAGGTTAGGGATCCTGTATCAGGCAGGGTTAGGGGCAGGGTGGGAAGGGAGAAATCTCAAATTCGAGATTTTCCTTCCCATTCAACTCCCATCCCAAAGCCTTCTCCTCCGTCACAGGCATCTGTTGTCCAATGGCAGCCGCTACTCCCTGTTCTGATGAGGACACGTCTCCTGGTAGGCTGGTGGCCTGGGGGATGGAGTAGGTCTTGCCAGCTGTTGAGGTGGGTTTGGATGCTGCTGTTGCTATGGTTACTGCAGAGCCCCACTGGCTTCAAGGCCTCTGGTGCTGTCTGGTGCTGGAGTACCCGAGGCTTTTTCTCCATGCACTGCTCCATACTCATCTTCTACCCTTCTCTGCCTGCCTAAACCACAGTGGGTTACTTCTCCATGCTCACCCACCCCATCCTACCCTCTGTGACTGATGGCTGTGCTAT